CAATCCATGTGGAAGTGTACATAAGAAAGGAACTCACTACGGTGATGTCCAGAGTCAGAACAGGCTTTGTTACTTCTTTTATAGGTTTACAGAAATGATTTATGTCTGTGGTCCTCACTTTTAGAGTACGAATGACAATGTCTGGTAACCAGAAGTACAGTTATCATCTGCCTAACCCAAAGGACACTGCCAACCTAGTATCAAGTTAGATAACACTGAACAGCTTATACCTTAAATCGATGTTTTGCACATAAGAACATTAAGATTCCAAGGGGTATTTTTGACTTTGGGTGCTGAATACACAATTGCACAATAGTAAGCATGTGAGTCATACCAGGTGGCATATTCCATTTCAATATTTTATACACATCTAGTTAACTCATATCTTTGTTTCTCAGTACAGTGTGTGGCATTTAATAGGCACTAAGGAAATGCATGTTACATTAATTAATGAAAAATATTTTGCTGTTTACACATACATAACGAGTAGGTCCAAGGGACATGTGCCCTGTGAGAGTACTTAACAACAGTGATTTTGCCTTAATTTAAATGCTAGGGGGAATATAAAATTGCAAAATATGTGATTTCTGTCCAATTGGAGTTAATAGTTCAATTGTGGAGATGGTCCATTCATTAATCATTAAAAAAAAACACAGTAAGGAAGGGAAATAAAGAGACAGCAGTCTTGTGCATTATGCCTTCATCAACTCATGCCATACAAACGTCACTTCTGCCATTTGACCTCATACATAAGTATAAACCCTATTCAAGGGTAGATGAGAGAGTAGACTGATATTTGCAGATTCTCTCTATGACTACACAATGTCTCCAAAAGAACTCGTAAATATGCCTGTGATGGGCTTTGAAAGTGACCTCCTTATGTATCTAATTTTTCATCTTGGTAACAAGTGCAAAGACCCATAAATACAGCTTTAATTAACAGCAATGTGGTAATGCTTAGGAACAGACTGTCAGCTCTGTGAATCTGTCGGCCTTCTTATAAAGAATTTTGCTTTTCTCACAGTGTCAACATTAATTAATGTCTTTACAATTTATTTAGCAGCTCATTGTCTCAGAGATGGCTAAACAAGTTCACTGAGCCGTATTTGTGTATCAAGGGTGATATAATCCGGCTGCTTTGAGGAGAGCACTCTGTAAAAATATACTGTCTCAAGTAGTGATTAACAGGGAGGAAAATAAAGCAACCTGTCAGAATGATTCTCTTCCTTCATCTATGGACAACATACTTGTATACCACGCTGCATAACAAATCAGACTCAAAACTGTTCATGTGGTCTTTAATGAACTTACACAAACTATCAAAGGTCAACAAAGAAAGTCAGTATTCCCATCAAGAGTCCTTAATTATTCAATTAAAAAGTATCATTCGTCACATTTTAGGTTTTTTAAACAATGAATGTAATTCTGTGTTTTGACTATACTTTATCTTTTGCTCATATAAGCCTATAACATCTTTGTACCATTGATAATATCAGACTGGGAGTATTAATCATTTTAAAGTATTTTTTAAGTATTTTCTAGGGAAAAGATGGTATCCTAAGAGTCCCCCATTTGTATCTACATGTTACTGTCTCAATTTAGCAGCAAGAATGAAAACTGGCTCATTTCTCATCATTTCACAAGGAAAACAATGTATTTAACCTTTTAAATTATAGTAACAGTAAGAAAACAAAAAACACTCCATCTAAATGTATATTTATTATTATAATGCTTACTGTAATGAAGCCATCAGTAAGTTTTATAAATTTTGATAAATCTCCAAACTGGAATACTATGCTACAACTAAAATCATGCTGTAAAAAATATTACACAACACATAAAATTATTTGAACTATATTCTAAAGTTACTAAATCAAAAAAACCTTTTTTTTTTTTTGGTACCAGGGATCAAACTCAGAACCTTGCGCATGCGAGGCAGGTGGTGGCAACACTGAGCTAAAGCCCCGGCCCCCACAAAACCTATTTTCATTGTAAAACATGTACATTAAGAAAGAACGACAGTATATACAAACCAAGCTTATATCACTACTAGAATTACAAGAAAAGGTTTCATTTTTTTCTATCAGTAATCTAAAAATATTAGAAAAAGATGTATTAAGGAAATAGTGCAGTAGAAATAAATAATAAGAGTGAGAAAATATCATTTAAACTTTTAAAATGGAAAATCATAAAAATTTCCGGCACATTCAGCACTCAAACATAAATGGCTATCAACGTGTATGCTAGGTTATCTTTTAAAGTGAAAGTCTCATTTTTATTTGCTCTTATTCTTTAGTTTTGGATTTATTGACTCTCTCAACTCCAACCCCATCACCCACCCAAGTACCCCATGTTAATATATAAACATGTATCCCTTCCTTCAAACTTGTCATTCATGGAACTATCTGGTACAGACACCTACAGATACAGACTGATACCTATCAACCAATATGGGGCTGTCGTTTGCTCTGGAAAGAACGGATCACACCATATTATAATTTTGCACATTATTTTACACCTTAGATGATGTCTTTTGGAAATCCCCACAAATTAACTGCCTAACACTAAACCCTCTTTTCAGTAGGGGCAGAACACTGCATACTGTGTATTTTACACATGACCTTTGCTTCTAGGGGCTTTTAGGTTCTCAACAGGTTGTGACCTGCCTCTCCCCTCCCTTGCCAGGAGATAGTTGGGGAGTTCCAAAGACATTTTGATGTGTTCTAATTACCCAGACAGATGGGTGTTTCTGGCATCTTGTTGGTAGTGACAAGGAATTCTGCTGAACACCTTACAGTACATATGTTAACCTCTCAAAAATATATTTGACTACCCCAAATGTCACCAGCACAGCTCTGACACCTCTACCAGGGACAGGCTGACCTACCTCTGGCTGCATGTGACACTCTTCCCTTAGGTATCCACATGGTTCCCTCCCTCCCTTCCTTCCTGTCTTCTTTCAAATGACATCTTCTCAGTGGCCTATCTTGGCCGAACTATTTCATCGCATCCTTCCATAATATCCAGACACACACTGCTGCTAGCCTTCCCAATCCTACTCTGCTCATTTCTTTTGCCCTCTCAACTTCTAACAAGCCATAGAACTTATTCATTATACTTATCCAGTATCTTTTATCCTATTTGAGAATGTAAACTCCACTGTGGTGGCATTTTGTCTGTTTTATTCACTGCTACATCAGGCCTTAGAAAGCACCTGGGGTTTGATAAAGAGATGAGCAAAGAAACACGAATATATGGTGAGCATTCACTCATTTTCTCATCTTTAGACTACAAACAATGTTAAAGTAAATACCCTTACATACAAGTTATTATGTGTGTATTCTTCTATATCAATGTGGACATGTAAATTGGGTTCAGCTTTTGGGGTTTTAGAAGGTAGAATGTGCCTCTAAATTACACATATTTTAGTTTCTGTTTTCCTGTAAGAGTTTTACTTTTATTTGTTACATCTAAGCCTTTACTCCACCTATAATGTATGTCTGTGTATGATACAAAAATGGGGTTTAATTTCTTATCCTTCTTGATGAATAATCAGATATGTCAGCATCATATTAAATATTTTCCCATTGCATTAAAATACTTATATTTCTCATATATTAAATCTTCCTAATTACTGGATTCAAGTTCTAGACTCTATCCTGTTTAACCTATAATTCAGTGCACAATAACGTAATGGTTTTATAAGGGAGAAAAAAGACACTAGGAAAGGAAAAGAAATATAATTAGGCAGGTTGAAAAAATATTCAATTTAAAGATGAATTAGAGAAAAACTAACACAAGGACAGATATCTGTACTATATAAATATAAACGTGTTTGAAGTTCGGGACACAGTTAACCTACCTAGCATACACAAACAACAAAACTAATGGTCTAATTTCATTAGTTATATAATGGCCACACCAATCTTCCATAACTTCTTTGGCAAACGTAATTTCATTCCATATAATCGTGTTCATTTTCATGTTGTCTATCCTTCAGTTGTTTTGAAGAATACTGCGTTAGTCATGGTTCTCCAGAGAAGCAGAAACAATAGGATGTGTATACATATAGAAGATTTATTACAAGGAATTGGCTCACACAGTTATGAAGACTGCTAAGTCCAAGATCTACAGAGGACACCCAGGAAAACTTATGGCATAGAAGAGTTTTAGAGACAGGCTACTGAGGAGATCCTTCCTACAGGGAAAGGTACTCTTTCTTGCTCTATTTAGACCTTTAAGTAAAAGGAGGCCACATCATGGAGGGCGATCTGCTTTACTCCAAGTTCACCAATTTAAATGTGAACCTCATCCAAAATCATCCTTCAGATTGACACGTAAAGTTAAGTATCACACATATCTCAGGCTATTTTTTAATCCTTAAGGCATGCTATTTTTTTATATCCAGTGAAATATTTCATTACCTTAAGACCTGTAAGAAAAGTGTTTAGTCTTTACAACTTGTAGGTAAAAGCAAGATTACAAGTTAATTTCTACATTGAATCTTTTGATAATAAAGACATTGAACACTGCATATCTTTCAAATCACAAGGCAGGAAGCAAAACCTGTGAAGATATTGATGCTCAGTCAGTTCATTACCACTTACCTTTCCCATCTTGGTTTCTGCACTGCAGAGTGATCAGCTGAATGGCCACTGTGACAGAAAGACTCACATTGCCAATTGTAATGTTTATCTATTGCATCTATAAATCTGGATACTATGCCCCACCCCAATCCTAGTTGGGAACCTTAATGACACCTTTATGGTACAGTGAATAAAATTTGTGATCTCTTAAATTATGAGGCTTCTGTGCAACAATGTCAGCTCTGGGCCTATTTAATAGTTCAGGGATTAAAGCAGAAGAAACTAGGCCTCTTTCCATGAAGGCTGTTGGTTTTAACCCCAGAGAGACACAGGTGGGCCCTCTGACATTTGCATCATTACAGCAGTCATACAGCCTTGCAGAGCCCTTGGTGCGGGCATTGCTACTAGACTTACCTGGGGTGTGATCAGAGTCTGTACTTGATGTTCCAGCAGGAAGTCTGCTGCCAACGGCCCAATCCAAGTCATCCTCAGAGTCCTGTGTAAGACTGCAGGCTGTGGTCCAGTTTCCTGAACCTGTGTCAAAACTGCAGCTCCCCGGGACGCTTGTGTAATGTCCTAGCAAACAAAAATGTTCATGGAAGTTTCTGGACATATCTATCATACTTCATAATACACCATATTTTTGATGATTTAAAATTAGTATATGCGTATTTTAATTATCCATTTAGACGTCCAAAATATTTTCATGCATTATAATATTAGCTGTAAACAGTAACTTTTTAATCAAAGGACCTAAAAGCAGTGTATGAATAATGTCATTTGCACATTAAGGAATTATCTGGATTGACTAATAAGATTTATAGGTAATTGATAAAATTGTGCCTATACACGAAATGAACAAAAGATGATGATAATAAAAATAATTCAGGTAAATGAACAGTTTCTGTGGTCTGGATGTTCAATATAATCTTTCACTTCACTCTGATGTTGAAACAGTACATACCTTTAGAGAAGCAAAGTCACTTACTAAAGAAATACCTACTCTAGGAAAAGCAGTAAACCATATAGGACACAAACCCTTTCAGAGCTAGTCACTAAAATAATGAAAGAAATTCTCTTCTAAAAACACTGATTGATATTTCATTAAAAATTAAATTGTTCACAATGAGAAAATGTAATAGATAACAACATGTCTACCCCTACTTGTCTGTGAAAACTTGCATAATAATACCCAGATAGCTAGGCTTTCATTTGTCTTTCCATATTTTTTTGACACAGCAGTTATTATTTTTGAGCACTCACTATAAAATCTGACTATATTCTACAGACAGAATGAATTATTGGGCTATTTAATCATTATGAATCAACTGAAATTATCATTGACTTCTTTCTTCTTACAAAGATGAAGTTTGTGGTATTTTAAAAATTTCTTCTAAGTCATAACTTTTCTTAACATAAAAATGTTAGCATATAAAATTTTAATAAGAAAACAAAACTTGCTATTAAATGGATGCCGAACATATTATAGAGCTTTCATATTTTTTTACAAAGTTTTCTGGATCCATAAAAGGATTTTTATAAAATAGCAACATTTTGCTTAAGCATTATTGGATTTTAGTCCTGAAATTGAGAAATACAAATACTTTTAATCCTGTACATTTTTTCATTCTATGTCACTATATAAAACACTGATTTTTATATGCTTAGTTAAGGGCTCTGTATACTCTTTTTCTTCATGTCATGCTAGTATTCTATTTATGTAGAAGACATTTATATTATATATAAAATGAGAAACTCAGTTCTCCTGGTGTTTAGCCAATACATTTGCAAACATTCAAAACCCTCCAATGTGCACACTAGAGCGCCATTATGCATCCTCTAAAGTGATGTCACATAAACGTTCTGTTCTGTTGTATTTCTGTGTAACTGACTTCCTGACATAGAAGCCATACAATAATTACTCTACTTCCTTTTCCATTCTTGGACTCCCCTGTCCTCCTGTTCCACTTCACTTAACATGTGCCTTTGAAGACTTTGAAGGTACCTATATAATCACAATAAATTATATTTTATTATCTGTATCTCAAAATGAATCACCTTTCCTATCCTCTTTGTTGAGGCTATTCTCTATCCACTATCTCAATTCCTTATCACAATAGTGTTATTCATATTTCAGCTTCATTGCCTTCAAGGTTACACAACTTTTTCATATCTTTCAATCTTATGTTCTCTGCTAATTTCACCCTTACACCTTCAGATACTTCCAGGCTGCCCCTCTTCAATGCTTAAAAATATATTTACTTGCTTAAATTTTTCACTGTATATATCCTCACTCATGCTGTCCCATGGTCTTTCACACTTTTATACAAACGACCTATAAATCTACAACCACAATGAAATGCAGCCTAACATCTTCAAATGTTTTTGAACATTCTACCTGGGATATGTGACTGTCACTTTAAAACCAATGAGCCCCAAACAATAGTTTACCTCTCCAAATGCCTCCTCCTCTGTAAGTTTCTGGCTTAATTTCATAATGGGTACTTTCTTTCTCTTTTTAAAGACTAAAACTTGCAGAGTCATCTTTGATTCAACTGTCTTCATCTCCATATCCATAGTATCACCAATACCTGTAGACAATTTCTTTGAGAACTCGTTGACTCTGTTCCATTCTTTATAGCTCCATAATCACATCTCACTGCTTTAAGCCCTTACTTTAAGATTATCTTTCATGTAGGCTTCATCTTCTCAACCTTTCAAACCCAAGCTACATTAATCATCCCTAAGACTGCTCCTGTGTTACTTTCTCTTGCTTAAAATATTCCTGCTTTTCACACTGTTTGAAAATATTCTCATAAATTCCTAGCCTTGAATACAATAACCTTTAGTTTGATGCAAAGTATTTTTAGGATGAAATCTGTCTCATCTTCAAAAGTGTCTCCACTTCAACCATATTTTTCAAAAGATTATCTCCTAAATATAAACTGACATTTAAAAACATTTATGTTTAGGACTGCTTTTCTCCTTCTATCTTGAATATTTTCTCTCACAGTTGGTTACTCATTTATCAGCCACTCGCTTCTGTCCTGTTCTAGACATAACTGCAGTGTTATCTGAGTGTTTCCCTTCTTTGACTCGGGTAGCTCTCTCCGGGCTTGAGACAGGTCCCTCCTGTCCTCCAGAGGTGGTTCACACCCTTTCTGGACAACTGTGACAAGATCTCCTCTCTTTCCTCATCTTTGTTAGTTTAGGCATTATCCTGGGATACAAATCTAGACAACGAGACTGGGGAAGGGATTGCCAGTTCTCCTATTCTTAAAAGGAAATTGAAAAGAAGAAAATCTATTGGTTCATTCCCAGGATATGGTTGTACAGATAAAAAAATTATGCAAGGAATTCATTCTATAACAAACCTAGTTATCTGAAGAAAACAACATAAAGAAAGGAGTTTGTATAGTCCTATACTTTTGATGATAATCAAAATTAAACACCTTAGAGCAGCCAAGATTTTAGACCTCTTGCTACTTGAGATAATAGATTTTGCTTGTTATCTGTATTGGTATTGTTTCAGGTCCAATCAACCAAAAACCCAACTCTAAGCAAACAAAAATCAATTTTTATTTAAATTAAAAATAAGTCAGGAAGTTGTCATTCTCAGATAGAATGCACAGTCATTCCTTTGGGCCCTCTTTTCATCCACTCTATTCATGCATGCTTGCAAGATCACTGTCTTTTTCATTAGGGAATAGACACTGCTATGGTTTATTTCTAGATTTACCTGAAAGCCTCACATGGTCATAGGTGGGGCTTTTTCAGAGGTGGCTGAATCTAGAGTGTGTGATGCTAGGATTAAGGGTGTGTGATTACTGAATCAGTCCACTGACTGGTTTGGCACTCCCCTAAACTAGGTAGCCTATATAGAGTATAAAAAGGGACAGAAAGACACTGTTGAGGTCACCTGTTGCTTTGTTACCATTAATCTGCCATGAACTGTTGCTCCTCTGCCATGTGCCACCCTGCCTTGGAGCCAGCTGATTATGGACTGAAATGTCTACAAACTGTGAGCTAAATAAACCTTTGCCCTTTTAACTTTTGGGTTGCCTCAGCAATGAGAGAAAGGTAACTAAGGCAGAATTTGGTATTGAGAGTGGGGTTGTTGCTGTAACTATACCTGACCTATATAAGGTTCAGGAGCCTTTGGGAATGGCTTGTGGGAAGAGTTTGGAAAGTGCTGGAGTTGCCAGCTGAAAAAACAGAGCTGGAACACCTTAGGCAATACTTGATGGGAGATTGTGGTCAGAGCTCAGAAGACCAGAAGGCTGATATCAATGCTGCTGGTAAAGACCAGGCCCAGGAGGTTTCTGCTGGGAAGAAGGACTGCATGGGCTGTTAGACTCCAGATGATGTCTGTTATGCCTTGGAATAACATTTTGCTCCTGTTGAGTGACTTTCCATGAGACTAAGATTATGGATGATGGACTAATTAGTCTTGCAGAAGGAATTTCAAGGCAGTCCAATGTTGAGGCAGTGGCCTGGCTACTGTTGGAGGCTTTTAGCTAGATTTATATTGAGAATCAAGAGCAAAGAGACCAGAAGAATAATTTAAAATGTTTTGAGTTTGGTTAGAAAGGAAGCTCCAGTAAAGCTGTGGACTGCAAAAATAGAGCAGAGGAGATCTTGATTGAAGAGAAAGAACATGAGAATAGAAAAGATAGACTGAGGGCATCACCAGATACAGCAGGACACCAGCCTTTGGAGCTTCAGAGTTGCAAAAGTAAAAGAATTTGCTTTGAGAAGAGGGCCCCAGAGCACCATGTTTCAAAATGGCAACAGCCTAAGGAAATTGTTCCTTGGGATTTGGTCCTTAGGCACTCAATCCCTACAGCCAAGAGAGAAGGAAGCCTAGCTACTCCTCCACCTGGTGGCAGACCTTGGTATCATCCATGTGGAGCTGGTTTTAGGTGCACGCAGAATATAAAAGTTGTGGGGTCAGGAAGCCTTCCTTCTAGATTTCAGAAGAAAGCCTGGGAGGCCAGGCAGTGCACCCCAGAGAGGGCAGTGTGTGAAGCTGTGAGTGTGAACATCGAGGTCCAGTGGAGACACCAGAAGTTTGAAGAAGCCAGGATCATAAATCTGAGGCAAACTACAAGGAAGGTGTAGAGCTGGCCCCAGAGAGAAGTCATGGGAGCTACAATCACTGGAAGTGCTGTAGTGGTGGAGCCACTCAAGCCCTTTGGAGTTCACGGTTTGCCACAGATTGCCTCGAATACTGCACATGAAACTGCACAAACTAATGTTTTCCAGGCTGGATTTTGGGCATGCTTTGTATCCTCCTGTTTGTACCTTTTGAAATGGAAATGTCTATCTTGTGACATTGAATGTTGGAGTGTTTAACTTTCTTTTCATTTGTACAGAGGCTTGCAGCTAAGAGTTTGCCTTAAATCTCAGAGGAAACTTGGACTTTTCAACAATGGTGAAACTCTTAGGACTTAGGCAACTCTTGGAAATGGACTAAATTGGTTTTGGCATAAAGGAAAGTATATGTATATGAGTCTTTGGTGGGCCAGGGGTGTAATGTTATGGTGTATGTGTCTAGAAGGTTCACACGGGTAAAG